AATTTAAATCCCTATGGGAAAAATGAATGAAGTATTCATTCATTTCAGTAAAATCAGTATTTTTCATTAAATTCCAGTGCTGGTTTGTATTTCCACATCATGAAGGATTGCGGATTTATAAATGAACCGCTCACTTTGAAATTTTCTAACATTTGTTACAACATTACACGATAACTTTCGTTAACTCTACAATAAGTAAATCCACTTCAAATGCTAATTACTCTTTGACAGCGATGCCATAGTAATATACAGAGCTACCGTTAAAAAACAGAAGTTCAGAAACATAATTTTAAAGATAATGTCTATAGGCACTACAAGTCGCCAAATTAACCATTAAAGGGAGATCCGACATGAAGCCAGAAGATTTATAAATAATGACTGGATAACTGTGTATTCTCCTACTTATTAAACAACTACTTGCCAAGTATACATATAAACGCACAGACATATTGATCAAAGACTAGATAGATTACCTTAAAGCTTCTGCTATAACAACAAAAAAATAGTCCATTACAACAAAAAGCAATCAATCTATCAACAAGATGAACACACAATTACGTTTAGAAATCATTATACAAAAATATTTAAATCACAACTAAGTTAACCATCAAGTATTTAATGTAAACTATTTTTCAAGTCAGCTAGAACATTAACATTTTCAGTAGTTATACATGTAATATTTAAACGTTAACTGAAATCAAATAAAATGTAAACCACATTTTAACATTTCTCATTTGATTTAACTTGACGTACTGAAATAAACTGAAATACAAATTAATACAACTATATAGTTTTTCCTAATAAAAGACCTAATAAAAATGACAAAATATCAATTAAATATATCAGCTAAAACCGTATATCAATGATATAACACTGCTATTGTGTTTTGCATCGTTTCTACCATTTGATTCTAGATTTCACTTGATGCAAGAAAAGTGTCTTTATATTCAACTTTATATACTTGTTATGCATAATTATATAAGCTAATGTAACAATTAAAATAACATTTATTTACTGTATAATAACATTAAATTAAGCCTATACATATCACATGCTGTAATAACATCAGCATCATACTGGTTATCAGCCATAAAAATATGGCATATGTAAAATAATATCAGCCAATTTCTACATCAGTGCATCTCTAATACAATCACTACCGTGATCATTTTAAGAGTCAACATACAGAAAATGTGTTTGTTTGATGCATGTGAAAACTAATATATTCACCATTCTGACATTTAAAATGTTAAATTATAGCTAAAATATGTAATAAATGCTCAGATTGTAATTGTAATTCAAAAAGAAAGCAATCGAAACTGCACCCACTCCATTTCACAATGTTTGCAGTCCTTATGGACACAGAGGTAACCAGTTCTGTGAGACAGATAACCCAAATACAACAACATAATGGACATTTCAATCAAGTCAAAACATGTGCAGACCTTCTCACAGCAGATTCATTCATCAGAGAGAAGAAACCCCCCAGACAGAGATGATTTACACCCACCGTTCATTCAGGACGACTCTCTCTCTCTCTCTCTCTCTCTGCTGGGTTCACACACGACCTGCTCACAGAGGTTTCTCCACACACCCGTATTCAACTCATCAAAACTGACACTCCCTATGGATCTAACAATGAATTTCCTTGTCTTTTCCAAATTTTTCGCGATCGCTTTTCATAACTAATTTTAGAGAGATTGCATTAACAACACACTATATGGAAATATATTCGATTTAGGCCTGGAAATCACAATTTTAATATTTCCAAAAACACTGATTATAAGAATCAGCAAGTACTGCAAACTTTACCAATTTCACATGCACTATTTTATTTTTAATTATGAAGACAATTTGGTCTAATTTGAAACATTATATGTTTTAATTGACACTAATTTCGCCATGTTAGATGCGCTCTACACTACGACACCTGCCCATCTGACTTGATATGAACAGAAACACATGAAATTAAATCTTCGAGACTTTCTAGAAAAACAAGAGATCATATTTCTGACTACTGGACAGTTTGTGGTCTTACTGCTTATTGGGGTCCAACAGAGCCAAACACAAACAAATGATAAGCTAATTCCGGTTTGAATGTGTACATTTTGATTTAATAATGAATTGCTTTTCTTCTTAGACTGAACAAAAGTAATTTTTTGACAAAAGTTTGACATGTCATTTTGTGCATAATCAGGGTGGAATCACAGTATAAATAGACTCATACAACTAGGCTACTTTTAGTGCACGAATGTCAGTTTGCTTATAATCAGTTAAAAATATTATCAAATTATTCTTCAGTTCAATCAGAACAATTCTTATCACATTTTGTGAATGACTTAACACGTTTTTTCCTTTGTCAAATCAACTTCTTAATATATGTGGTTCAGATAACATAATATTTTGAGTTTCTGTTGATGCAAATCCCCTTCATTGGATCAACTCAATTTATTTTATTTTATATGAACATAACGTGAAATGACTCACTATAAGGTAAACCGCCGATATTTTGACAGTGATATGTGTTCAAACTCTAAGCTTGTGAAAACCTATATGATGCCATCACTTGTTGATCTCAAGAACATGAAACATCAAGACATCTTACCAACTTTGGGTGGGTGTAAAAACTTTTTTCAACCTCCAGAGAACGGCTACAACCACTAAACTAAAGACAATTATGAGAGTTTAAACACATATTTAAAGCATAAACTTCAATAAATCTTTACAAACATGCAGTTTCTCAACGGTCGTGCATCCAAACACACACACATACACAGGTAGAGGAACTAAGGTGGGACACACCCTCAAAACACCGTTTACAAGAACACAATTACGCCTTAAAAGTGTATTTAAAAACTCAAAATGACTTACCGATATCAACTCGACGTGTGTGAATCCTCTGAAGATGTTTGGTGTGTTTTATTGCTCCATGTTCGCTCCGTGTCGGTGCGTATGAGCTGCTGTGTTGTGCGTGTATTGTGTCTTCAATCAAACTGGAAAAACTGGTCGGACGAGGAGAAGCTTTACTCCTACAAACCCATTCTACACACACTAGGATGATGGAAGGAGGCTTCCTTTCTTTTCTTTTCTTTTTTTCTCCCCCTTTCCTTTTTGAACCGACACACACTCCAAGACTGCAACTCATTCCTCGACGATCACGTGATCGCGCAGGTAAGCAAGGTGTGACTCATTTTACTGTCAAATTATGCGGGGAAATTTCTCCTTTTGCTGTAGTCATTTTTTCTGTGTCCTGGTATCGATAGATATATCATATAAATATAGATTCATCACATAAATAGATAATATCACATAAATAAAATAATAATTCCAATGCCTGCAGGCTACTACTTATTAATAGGCCTAATCATTTCCAATCAGTTTTAAAATCTTCCCAACTTTGGGTGGGTGTAAAACCTGAATAGATATAAATGAAATGTTAAGATAAATGTGGCTGTTTTGATCTGAATACACGTTTATAGATGATAAAATATTATTATTTGAATAACCTAATATAATTTCTAATTAGTATATAAATTAAAATGTTTGTTCTCAACTTTGGGAGGGTGTAAAAACCTGAATACATGTAAATATATCGCCCTCTACTGAGAGAAAAAAAGTATGTGTTTTAGTCCTGACGGATTTAGCGGTCAGGCATGATGGGTCTTTTTATTTTTGTTTTAACTATTTACTGTGTATTTTCTATGTCCTGGTATCGATAGATATATCACATAAATATATATTCATCACATAAATAGATAATATCACAAAAGGTAAAGGTAAATGTGGCTTTTTTTTGATCTAAATACACGTTTATAGATAAGAAAATATTAGAGTTATTTGAATAACCTAATATAATTTCTAATTAGTTTTAATTTAATTCTTTACTGTGTATTTTTTTAAGTCAATGGACTTTTCAATCAGTTCATCGATGACAGTATTCGCAGATTCTCAACGCTGATCTGGCTGATTCCATAACGTGTGATTTACTTATATAACATCTTAATTTTAATATCTTTGAGTTAATACATCTAAACTATTATAAGTTTTGTTGTGCAAATACCTGCCCTGAAACTGTATATAATCAGACATTCTCTGATATAATGCAGGCAGCTCATTGAAGGATTCTGCTTTCTGAACCATCGAAACCGCGCGACCTCTGGAGGACGAAGCCTGTCTCACACGAAACTGCAAAAAAAAAACTGTTTTTATTTTTTACCTCACTTAATTTTTTTAATGGATTTTAATCTTTACTGTGTTTAAAGTGTATGTAAAATTCCAATATACAGAAAACAACCAGGAAAGATGATTGCAACAGCATTTCTAGGCGGCCTAACGTATTTCGATATGTAAATATGTACATTTCTGTAGGCTACTCTCAGAAAATTTTGGAGCTTTAACATCACGTCAGGTCTTTAGTGTTTATGATTAGGCCACATTTGATATAATTTTTGAGTGTATTTCATAAATACTGAGAGAAAAAATATTGGGTAAAGCTTTTGATTGATCGTCCAGGATGGGCAGGATACATTAAAAGATGTATTAGGCTACTGATTAAAATCCATTTATTCAAGAAAAATGTGAAGTCAACAAGTTGAAAATAATAATAATTGGAAAATTCAAAGTATTCCCCCTCCTGTTTTCTTATGACAAAATATACAACATTTTATGAATGTTGCAGAGTTATATATAGCCTATAAATAAAAAGAAAATTTAATAATGTGCATATATTAAAAAAAAACTGCATAACCATCAAAAATATTTTTGTATTTTAGCCTATGTATTTACCATTAACAAATTGTTTTAATAAAAATGATAAAGTTACTGAACATATTGAAAAATATATGCCGTATTTTATTTTTCTCCAGGCAAGCACTCTTTAATATGACCTCCCAAACTCTGAACACGAATTATCAAATATTTGAAATATACACGAATATCACTTAAAACATCCAAGAAGTGAAAGAACTGAAAATCATTATATAATAAACGAGACACATGGGTTATGTAGTTGTTTTTGATTTTATTTTTGTGTTAATACAATAAATATACAAAACTCAAACTACTCAACATGCGACTAAGGGAGCGAGACAGGAGTGCATTTGTACAGTACAATGAAATTCAGGACGACAAGCCACCATTCCTTTAGAAATAGAAAATATACAAATATCCCTCGAGTCTGTTTTAAATAATGTCAGAGTAGCAGTAGTACAACACGTGATGGGTTTTCTTCGATTCATCTCACGTATCAGTGTTTCAACTAAGTTAGCTAACATCACTAATTTAAAAAAGACAGCTTAAAGCCACGATCCATTGCATCACACACAAGAGGTCACGTCGCTCCAAACAGATTCTTGTGGTTTTTTCCGGTTTTTAATGAAAGCATTTCAAAACAAACCAAAAGAGAGGAACATTCAGGTGCCATTTGTTGAAATGTATATAAAAGGAAAACGACTTGCAGTAACTCGCACGTACTCGGAGAACCGTACATGAGTGAAATAAAGATTCAAATATGACACACACACAATAAGATAACAAAATAAGGGACATATTAAGAAGGGAAAAAAAGGAATAGTTCACCCGTGAGCCATTTTCGGTGGACTATTCCTTCATAAGTTACAGATTATTAAGCAAAATGTGTCGGACTTCAAACCAAGGCGGATGCAAACTCAATACTGAAAACAGGTGATGAACATACAGTTTGTTCACACACACACACACACACAGAGTTGCTAAAAGGTTAAGATCAAGATTAATTTCCATCTTGATGCATTTCCCATAATCGCAAAACTTGGCTGTCTCTTGGTGACAGTAACCAAGGCTACAAGGTTCAATAAAAAAAGAAGGAGACGAAAACAAACTCTACGCAGACAAATGACAGCATGATTCAGAACAACGATTAAGGATCCAACCTCGGGACGGCCCAGCGCGGCACAGTCTTACACACATCTGCAGCATAAATGTGACGTGTCGTTAGCGAGATGCGGTTTGGGGGCGTGATTTTTAAAAGTGTTTTCCAGTTTATCCCAATGCATGTTAGACTGGGAGAGGTGATGCTCCTCGGCCCGGCAAGCTTCCCATGCATGTGCAGGAACGTATCCTGAGTGGTTCACGCTTTTAAGAATTAGTTTCCATTCCAAAACAACTCTATTAGAAAAAAAAAAAGAAACCAGAAAGCCTCAGATTCATTCATATGGTTAAAATCAGTCAATACTTTATGTCATCATACAGGTTTGCTTATATATATATATTTATATATTTACAGGTGAAGAGACCCTCTGAGTTGCGTGTGGAGCGTTTACGGTCACATCTGAAGGGCGTCTTCGTGTACTGATGGCTCATTTGCAGGATAGATGGGAGAATCTCGCTAAGAAAAGGTCATATCAGCCCAAAATCCAAAGTAAAGCGAGAAAAAAATAGTTTACATTATTTCCGCGACAATTATGCAAAACTATTTTTTATTTTTTTTTCGAAATGGGTATTTAAATGTTTAATTGTCACCTTAAATGGACGTAATTTCCAATTTTTTTCTCTTGATTTTCTGATTAATTGCGACCTGGACTTGCATGACTGTGTGAGCGCTCATTTTACGACGGTAAGACAGACCTGCTAGGGCATAATCATTCTTTTTTTTCCTTGGATCCCATAAAAGGACATTTGATGACATCACTTCCTGTTGTTTAACGAACAAACAGAACACCCAACAGTGATGTGAACATATAAAGTGACTCTTTTTAGGCTGTTTACACACGTTTGAGAGCAGACAGGCGCTCCACACATACACACACACACACTCCAGCTAAAGAACAGGAGGGGAGGGGCTGTGGGCGGGGCCTCAGTCAGTCACAGGAGTGCATTAAGTCAATGAGAGTGGGTGTGGTCTTGAGCAGCCAGTTAGAGCTGACGAATGGCTGTAAGGACATTAGGAGGAATAAGGAGGGCGGGGTTAGAGTATCACGGATGGTCTCGAAGTTCTCTGAACCAATCAGATCTGCTCTTTGAAGGCTCCCCGGGCTGCAGAGGAGGCGGCGTTAGCGGCGGCGGTCTGCACCGTCTTGTTGGCCATGACGCCGGTGGCGAACTCCTGCTGCGCCTTCTCGAAACTGGCGCCGGTGGTTCGGTACATCGCATGGACCTGCAAATAAACACACAGACGGATGATTCTAGTGTACATGACTACTTCTATATGTAGGAACTTAAAACAACTAACCTGGTAAAAATTAAATAACAGGAATAATGAAGGACTAAACTGGAAACCCAATTACAAATCCTTTAATCTAAAAGATTTATAATGTGGTTATGGTTTAGTGTTATGTTTAGTGTTATCTTTATACAATTATAGTATTTATACTGTATATCAAATATATTTTCAGGTTTTATTTTAATTTTAATCAATTTAACATTTTAATTACATTTTATTTTTGTTTTTCAGAGTTAATTTTAATTTAACATTTTGAATTAGTTTAAATATATATATATATATATATATATATATATATATTATTTTTGTATATTTGTGAACAATATATATTTTTTTTGTTCGTATTTTAATAAAAAATTTGAAATGGCTTTTATTTTTATTTATTTTTTGTATCTTTATTTGATTTATTTAGCTTAAGTTTTAGTGATTTTTTTTTTAAATTTCAATTTAACTTTATTTTTTTTTAAGTCTTAGTTTTTAGCAATTTTAGTACTTCAACTCAAACTTAATTTTAGTTCATTTCAGTTTAACAATAACACTGTTATGGTTCATGTCCAAGTGGGTACATTTGAGGTGAAGCAAATATTATATTAATACGATATGAGTTTAGTGTGTAAGGTGAAGCACCTTTTTAAACATGATGAGAGACATGACAGCCGACGCAGTGAAGAGGGCGGCAATCAGGATCATGATGATGCCGACGGGAATACTCGTGTTCAGACAGGTCAGCGCAGAGATCCAGCCACTACAAACACACACACACCAGTCAATCATCTTATCACATAGTTTATGATGTAACTATGTAAAGATAGTACAAGAGACTGTCTGAAATTATAATAATAATAATAGATAAATTTGTGCCGAAGGCAAATTTCCCTTTATGGGGGTCATTTTGTTTTTTACTCATATAAAAATCAGCACACTTCATCTGAACAAATTAAATGACATAAATTAGCAATGTGAAGAATTATGGTTTTTACCTAAAAATTATAATTTACAAATGTAATCCACAAAATACAATACACACTTATGAGCCATTTATTTAATAATTATTCAGTCACTCTGTTTGATTAGGTTTTTATCCATTTACTGTTTGAAGTTGTAAAATTATAATACTTTTTCAGAGCAGAGAGAGAATATATGTATAAACATACACTCTACATGTGTGTGTTCTCACCTGGCTCCCCAACCTGCAATGCCAATGGCTTGCAGCACATGGACACCAAACTGGCAGATATAGACGAAGAAGAACACAAAGAACCTAAAAGAACTGTCACTCCTTCAGAGAGAAAGAAAGAGAAAACCATTATAATCAACTCTCCACAAAGGTACAGTGTGTGTGTGTGTGTGTGTGTGTGTACCTGAACGCTCCATACAGGGGTCTGTACCAGCAGACAAATGAACAGGGTGTAAACAGCATAAACCAAAGCATAGCCAGACCAAAATCCACTCCCCTCGACGCATCTACACAGAACCACGACAAACAGCCAAATATATTTGCAAACAGCGTCCCCGTGTGGACTGCAAGAGAGTGACATGAGAGAAGAGACCATGTGTTATTTTTATAGAACATAATGTGGTGGGGAAAATTCACTATAAAGCTCTGCTTGCACAAAACTGTTGAATCTTTGCAATTATTTTTTACTATAACTCTGATTGTGTTTGACTGAAAGAAAAACGTCATATACACCTTGAGGATGGCTTGAGGGCGAGTACATTATGGGATAACTTTCATTTGTGGGTGAACTAACCCATCAATGCTTTAAATAAAATAAAAACTTGAACATTTATCATCTGTATGAATTGTTTTTATCCAAGAACCTGTTAATAATTAAAGTGGTCTGAACATTCACCCTCTCTATTATATTAACAGAATCATTGCAAACCCTCTTCAGAGTCGCTCAGTTGCTCCCTTAATAGTAGAGTTCAAAACCAGACTGTTTAATCATTTATATAATCTAAAGCAGAGCCAGAGTGTATTCATAACCCCTCATTCACAGGGAATCGACTGCACACACTAAAGTTATTTGTAACATCAGGTTAGTGCAAACAGCAGCATGACCATCAGAAAATGTTGATCGTATACCTCAAGAGATCAAACTTAACATTTATCTAGCTATTTTATTTTGTATTTATTTTATATGAGCGAAAACTGATGAGATTATTGGTAACACTTAAGCTTGTGATAATTTTATTCAGCAAGGATGCATTAAAATGATTACAAGTGACACTAAAGACATTAATATGGTGTTCTTTTTAACTTTCTATTCTACAGAGAATCCTTAAAAAAGATCCGTTTCCACAAAAATAACAAGCAGTTTTCAACATTAATAATAATAATCAGTGTCAATCATCACATTAGAATGATTTCTGAAGGATAATGTGACACTGAAGACAGGAGTAATGATGCTGAAAATACAGCTTTGATCACAGGAATAAATTATTTTTCAACGAAACATATTTTAAACAGTAATATATTTCACAATTTTACAGTTTATACTGTATTTTGGATCAAATAAATGCAGTCTTGGTGAGCAGAAGAGACTTAGTATATAACATTGCTCATTGTTAGTTCATGTTAGCTAATACTAACACATCTGACCTTATTGTAAAGTGTCATCAGATTATTTCTTACAAATTATGCCACTTTGTTGTGATCTATAAAGAATGATTCATTGATTTTTAATAGAAAATATGCAGAATATAAATTCAACAAATGGTTAAATTATGACACATTATAATAATTGAATTGTGGTACACAGTCAAAGAGGTCAACGCTTCTGAGGTGAGAACACGAGATTGCCTTTACAGCTGCTGCTAAATTTTGTTTTAATTATAAACATAATGGGAGTGCAATTATTTCCTATTCATGTTAAATGCTTTCAAATGGAGTCAGAGAGTCTGTCTACAACTGCAGTTTTGGTGTGGAATTTAGCAGTGTTATTTTACCAGAGAGTGAGAGAATACCGAACAGTTCGTTCACCACATTTACTGCACAAATAACTCTGGTCTCTCTGTCTCTGCCCAATTCCCTCCCAAATTCCTACACAACAAGGTCAGGACAAATTTAAAGTCCAGTCCGATGATACTAGTCACATGATACCTCAAATCACATGATACATCCCTTGCATGTCTAATACCATGTGACTGATCTTATCCAGTATGAAACTCATCAAATAGCAGTCAATTACCTCAAAAGTTTCTCTGGGAGGCACAAACAGTCCTATAAAGTTCATTTCTTTATCTTTAAAGCCTTTACACTATTATTACATACACCTAAAACTTCCCCAAACAGAGCAGATGTGTACTCAACATTACAATTAAACGTATGTGAGCCAGTTAAAATCATCTTATTCTACACTTCTGTAGCACTTATTTTATCACTCAAATGGATAGTTCACTTTGAAATTAATTTTTCATATGTTTTAGCTTACCTCAAGGGCATCCAAGATGTAGGCGTCTTTGTTTCCACAGTAGTTTAAATTTTGATATTTTTAGATCAAACAGTTTTTGTCTGTCAGTCTTATAATGGAGGTCTATGGTCACAGAGAAGAATGTAAGTACACATTGATGGCCTAAGACACGAAACGAGCGGTTTGTGTGAGAAAACGAACAGTATTTATATCGCTTTTACCTCTTGTAACCACAGCCACGTCCAAGTGATCTCAAAAAAAAAAAAAAAAAAATCAACGTTGTCTGTTTATATATCGAAATCGTCTTCCATTGCGATTTCCTGTATCTAAATATGTTTAGAGCTACACAGTGAAGGGAAACACTTCTGAAATCTCTGCGTAAACAATGAGTGACGTACACGTGCGAGAGATCACTTCCGGCGCATGTGCAGACCGAAGCGCCCGCACCCTCAGATCACTTGGACGTGGCTGTGGTTACTAGAGGTAAAAACGATATAAATACTGTTCGTTTTCTCACACAAACCGCTCGTTTCGTGTCTCAGGCCATCAATGTGTACTTACACTTACGAGTCATTAAAGCATATTTAATTTGGACTTCTCTGTTCATGCTCTTTGAGGTGGTGACCATAGACTTCCATTATATGACTGACAGACAAGAACGGTTTGACCTAAAAATATTAAAATTGAAAATACTGTGGAAACAAAGACACCTACATCTGAATGCCCTTGAGGTAAGCTGAAACATACCAAAAATTAATTTCATATTGGAATATTTTCCACCTTTTGCCTGAGCTATATAATTAAACAGGCTTTTTTTTTGTTACTGTACCATTAAGACTCCTACTTGGCCTCTGTTGTCTAGCCTTCATAGACGGTATGTTTGGTCTCATTTTGGCAGCTGTTTTTGGACTGCTGGCATTATGGGATTGGCCGAGGGATACTCACACATCCAGAGATAGTACATGATCTTGACGGTTTTCTGGAACTCCACGGGTATGTCCACCGAAATGTCATGATAGAAACACTGACCCACAGGAAACTTCTCTGGAAGAGGCGGCCAGTTGTTTTTCCTCCCTTGGAAACAAGAAAAAGCTATTTAAAATCGAAAGGAGGAGGTAGATGATGCAACATGAGCATGATGACAAAATGTGGTTAACTGGGGTACAGATGCAACAGAACGGTAATGTAAATTATTAATCTGCTGACATCTATGCAATTTTGGTCAGAATAAGCCACAAACTAGTGCAGTTCTCTTGCTTCTTTTGTTCCAGATCAAAATAGAAAATGAGGGGGGGGGGGCTGCATTCACACCAACTTAAGACACAAAATGATGCTGTGAGCTGCGCTAAATGTGCTCGTTGTATGTCCGTACACACATATGATGATAATTTTATCCACTGAGAATTGAGCTTGTGTAGAGCTTGTTAAATGTGTTAAGGAGTCAAAACAGCACCACAAAATAGCTCCTATAGTGAGTATGTTTGTGCGTTCTGTCCTTTTTAGGGTTGCATCTTGTGACATCACATCCTGTTTTTGGTTCGTTTAGATGTCTTTGGTCCGTGTTGCATTCATATTTCAGTCAGACCACCTCAGACTTGTTTTTTGTATTTTCAGGGGTCTAGGATGGTGTGCACCAGGGTTCAGATGGAAGTGGTCAAATGAAGCGCACTAATAGAGAAATTGCACTGAGTTGGTCTTACCCAGATCAAACCTGCCATGTGTGAACACACAGCGAGTCAGATTTTATGCTGAATTCTGAATATATATAAATTTAACCTGCACAATATGTTGCTTAAAATAGAATTGTGACGGCAAAGCTGAATTTGCAGCTGATTAAACAATTTGAGTAACACTTAAAGCCTTTATGTATTATGCATTTTTGTAAAAAAACACATTACTGTAATTATGCCTACAAGTAATGCACCTTTTAATGCATTGTATGATCTCATGAATAATTTTAACCACAGTTATTATACATTAGCATACTTATCTACTAATTCAAGTATAGTATGATGTATTAAAACATAAATAATCAATTTCAGATGCAACAAAGAATCTGCTAATATTCTAATGCATTTTAACTTTTGTTACAATTATTTATGAAAATAATATAATGCATTATAATGTACATTAGGAATACCTTTACTATGCATTAAACAAAGGCAGTGTTACCAACATTTCTGATTATTGTCAATGCTGAAAACAAATATTTTTGTGGGAACCGTGATGCGTTTTTTCAGTATTCTTCGAAAAATATAATGTTCAAATGAACCGCATTAATTTGAAATGAAAATCTTTTGTAACATTATAAATGTCTTTAATGTCACTTTTGATCAAATAAAAATTTTTGATCAAATCTTACTTGATTAGTGTATCTACTAGGGGTGTAATGGTACACAAAAATCACGGTTCGGTACGTACCTCGGTTTTAAAGTCACGGTTCGGTACGTTTTCGATACAGCAAAAAGAAAGAAATGCCAGAGAAATTTCCTATTTGTTTAAAGAAAAAATATTTTTAAATAAATGTGAGTTTTCCTAGATCTTGAAACTTTCAGGTTTATAAATGGGGGTCATCTTTGAAGGATGAACAAATAATGTTTTGGTCATCACATTAAAAATAACATTTAAATATATATTTATTTATATAATATTTTAATTTTTAAGGGCTGGAAAAAGATGTGTGAAGTACTTGAAAGCATTTCACCATTCCAGCCAAACTGGTTTCAGTTAGTGTTACTATATTAAATCCATGGTGAATGTTGCTGGTCTGTGGACGTAAAGTATTACTAGTCCATTCACGGCACAATGTTTCTCCTGGTTTCCACGTCTGCGATGTTTGATCTAATAGAGATCTACGGTTAATAACGGAGAAATGTGAATGCTTCTCACTAGATCTCGCAGTGATGTTATTACTTCAGTGGCGAATTCAAATGTTTTCTTTACCGGATCTCTTAGCGCAGTGTGGTAACAGTGTTGCTTGATCGTGATCGGCTCGCGCTGCACAGATGTTGCTGGTCCGAACTGATAAACCATCCGTGAAGCAGATAATTCGTGAAGCACATAATGAGTAGCGCAGTTTCGTTCTGCTTTCATTACATTTGCCATTTGATGTTGCGCAACGATGTGTTGGCCGCGTCAGCGCGAATTTTGCCGGCAGGAAAAATGGTCCAAGCAATCGTTTAGTTTGTACGCGTACCGAACCGGAAGCCTCGAACCGAAACGGTTCAATACGAATACATGTACTGTTACACCCCTAGTATCTACATGAGCTTTTTTTATTTTAATATGCACACAAGCACACATTAATATATATATATATATATATATATATATGGTGGTTATGTACATTAATGTGATCTACCCCCCACTTTCATTTCTTTTACTTTAATGAAAGTTTAGATTTTTGTAAAAAATTTTAGAGAAATATCAAAAGGATAAATAATGCAGATCTATTTTTTTATCACCTTTTTTTATCATATTTACTAGGGCTAGGTAATAAATATCGATTTCTCGATATAAATCGATTCTCATTTCTACGAACCGATATCGATTCTTAAATCTCAAGAATCGATTAGTCGTCCTGTTTCATTTGAATGAATGGAACATTGTATCGCGGCTGCGCGCATCCAAAAAAAAATAAAAAAAATCGCAATAATCTTTGTTCTTTGTTACTATGATATTCGAAATAATCAATATTGAATCAAAATCAAATAGAATTGCAAGCTTGTGAATCGAAATCTAATCGAATTGTGAAATTTGTGTCAATACCCAGCCCTAATATTTACCAGGGGTGCCATTAATTCTGACCACAACTGTATATCATGTGTGAGGTTGCTTCACATGTCAGTAACTTCCTGTCTGAGCAGTTTCTGAGAAGGATAAGCTGAACAGCATGGACCAGGCTTGACGCGAGGCTCATAACTCACCTCCTGACGCGTTGAGAGTTTGCATCTCTCTCTCCCTGCGGTCCAGCTCAGCTGCTTTTCTCTCCAGCTCCTCCTGTCTCCTCAATAACTCCGCCTGGGCTCGTGCCTGATCCTACATGCACAAAGACAAAGGAGGTTACAAACACAAACAGTGCTCATAGGCACAGCAGAACATAACTTCAGGACAGTTAACATCACAACACACATCAGAATCCAAAGGCATTTTCTCAGACTGTTTACAGCTGTCAGAACCAATCACAAACACATCAGATTCAGACCCGTGAGGGAAGACAACGGAAGTCTTCTCCTTTTGATTCATGGTATATCTTCGTTACACACTGTACATTTGAATATGTCAACTCGTATATTCTTTTAGCAAATACACACAGTGAAGTTTGAAAATGGGTTTTTATGACAATTTTCAAAATCCCCAAACCTTCGGCATGTAAAGTCTCTGCTGAAGTGACTGAGACAGTCAGGTAAGCTTTAACCAAAAATAAACTCCCAACCACACATGAGCCTTGAAGCTGCAACACACTCTGCAATCATTTACAGCAGCGTCCCAGATTATAATTTTAAGAATCACCCTGAGCCAATCTGTTGATGCATACTGTGCTCATTTCTGGGTCATTTTAAGGCTTCAGAAATCCCCAGCTTTCCCTGAAGGCAGCATAATGTGACATGCCTGGTTTAATCAAGCCAGTGGGCAACAAGTTCTTTAACAAGCCTTCTGTTGTCACCCTGAGGCTGAACTAGTCTTCGCTGCGAACTGCGCACTAAAGACTACAGCGACAGAAACTGAGACGAATAACAGCAAGTTCTGATTCGCCCTGGATCACCTTGTTGTGTCCTCCTAACTCACAGCATCTGACGTCACGACACAGAGCGGGAGCTAGTGAGTCATCTGATGCACACCCATAGTGTGTACGCGTGTCCATATGTCTAGAGCGTGGCATCCCTTCTCCCTCAGGCGTGCTGAATTATACAGCATAACTTGACTCGTGAGCAGACCGGCTCCGAGCTCTTGCCTGCTGGAAGCTTCTGTTGACCTACTGAGCATTTGGGTGAACATTTCTGTGAAATCGAGAAAGATTTGATGCTGAAAACCCTCTGATAACGAGGTTTGTATCAGGGACTCTGCTTCACATGGACCAAAAACTGGGTTTAAGGTTTTAAAGGACTTCAGAGAGTCCATCAACCTCATTAGACAATGATGAATGAATACTCAACTTTATGCAGTCAATTACAGTGTAAAATAATTTAGGCTTGTCTCAGAGTGTATAAATGAACAGGAAACATGATTAAAGTACTACACTTACAATAGATGACTTCCATAATATAACAAGGCTGCGATCATTTGAAATAAATCACAAAATGGCTTTTGAGTGAGATCATCACATTACAAAGACTGCGTTTTAATTAAATACATGCGCTGCGTGTTTCAGAGAATGTGGCACTGTGTTCTTTTATACACGAGTAGCTCATGATCCACCATTGTTTTCACAGTTGAGTCACTTACAATGTGCAAAACAAGCAGTGCAAACCAGGAACTTTATAATAACAATGCTTTCCCCCCAAATTGTATAGCCTTAAGGCCCGTACACACCAGGAGTAATATCAGCGCGCGTTATTCGTCATCGTTTTTCAACGCGTTTTTTGTGTTCACACCCAAGCGTTTTTCGCTGGCGATGAGCCGAGTGAACATGCAAATTCATTCCCTGACATTAGATGGCGCTTAATGTAAAACAGAAATAATAATAGAATACTACACTAGGGTGATCATATTCATGTCTCAATGTTTTATTATGACAGATTAAAAAAAATGAATGAAATAATGATAGAAATAATGTCTTCTGTAGGCTATTAGAAAAATAAATATATAAATAATAAATAACTAAAATAAATGCCTCCAAATGTAACAAAAAAATAGCTCTCACAAACTTACAAAAACGAACTAACAAAATCTATTTATATCTTTAGTTTTCATTCTGTTTTTCTTCCTCATCCACCTTGTTTGCCGATCTATATTTTGCTGTAGAACTGATCTTTGCCAGCAGTTTTTTTTGAAAACCAAGACATTTTCATCACTTAAAAACAGCCAGGACAGGACGTGGAAACACATACCTGCCAACTTCTGAGTTTTGCTTGGCGTGAGATCTGTTGACGGGGGGGAGGGGGGGGATATATATTCATTCGCTATAGATGATCTATATTCATTCGCTATAGATCACGTGAGATTTGTAACTAATTTGCGGTATAACTAGGATCACGAGTGGCAGATAGATCAATAGATAAACTCATCTTTCAGGCAGTTGACCGACCCACAGCTGTCAACATCAAAGGGAGATTTCCCGGGAACCATCACCAAAATAAGGTGTTTTTTTCCTCACGATTCTTACTCACAAACTTTAAAAATAAAGCACTAATCAAAAAGTCTAAAGAATTTAGAACTAGCCCACATATGTGTGAGAAAGAGCACTGTGTCATTAAAAAAAATACCATAGAGAATGTTTAAATACTAAGATCAGCTAACGAGGGAAACGGGGAGGCTGTTTCTGCTGGAGATGATTGGGAGAGGTCTCTGCACCTTGAGATCTCTGCGCGCGCTGACATGGAGTAAAGCCTTGTTTATACTCGACGCGTCTGCACGAGCGCGGTAAAAATGACGCGTTGGGTGCGCAAGACCGGCAAGACCTCACTTCGAGCTGTGTGCAAAGCTTGTGTTACAGCGCGCGCGGAACCGCATCCGAGGACGATCGACTTCGAGCCGAATCTGTCCGAGCTTGTACGTCTCACACAATCAGAGTGTACAAATACGAGATATTTTACGGGAAATACTAACATGGGAAGACAGTAAAAGAGCTAAAATACGTGAGAAACCCGGAAAAACGGGAGGATTGACACTTCAGCGTGAGAAATCGGGGGTGTGGCGTGTGAGCGTGTGAAACCAATCAAATGCGGGTGTCTCACGGCCAATGCGTGAGAGTTGGCAGCTATGGAAACAGGACGTGTGTAACGCAAAGTTGAGATGTTGCCCAGAGATAAAAACATAGCACTAGTTGTCGGATGAACAGATGCACGAGAGACGAGAGTTGTCGTATTTCCCCGTGTTTAATAAAACCACTCAAACGTTACACTCGTCATTCATGGGGATCGAGCAAGAAAAAAAACACAAACAAACATCTGGTCACAATAGAAAAATAAAATAAAAGAAAGAATACAATGAGTTGACAGAGCGGTTATCTCCTCTCCTCACTTGTCAAAACTGACACTACGCACACTATGCGCAGTTCTCATCTCAATTCTATAAAGCACAAAGTGACCGTTACACACATGTCCCGGGAAAACAGGACTGTTGGTCACCCTATACTATACTATTATTACAGAAATAATATAAATATTATCATATAAGTTAGCTCTTTATGCTCCAAGACCAGCAGCTTAACATTCTTGGCTATCTCTTCTTCGCCGTATGTGTGCTCGGCAAGACCGTTTTGTGTTTGAGCGCCCCCAAGTTGTGTTTTACTGTAACTTCAGAAGTACAAGACACGTGAGCAAACCCGCCAATCTCGTTGGTCGGACAGGTTTTGTTTTGACGCGGCGCGTCAAACCAAAAAAACGAACCCGAGGCGTTTTTAAAAAAAAAAAACGCTTTTACACGTGCCGTTTTTTGCGTAGGTGTGAACACTCACATTGGCGTCCATTGTTTAGTCACGAGGCGTTAAACGTTACGCGCGATATTCGTCCCGGTGTGAACAGGCCTTTAACCTTAACACTGTTCACTGTTCCTCACCTGAGAACATTAGTGCCATCTCATCAGACAACTAAGCTTCAGATTTCTACTTTGAATCCCATTTCGCTGCAATTCTTCCATTTTAAGTGTATTAAGTTAATGAAATAGAAAATAACATGAGGTGTATGTACCTGTGTCTGCTGAGGCTGAGTGTAAGCTGGCGGTTCTTCAGTGGGTTTCATGATGGCCGGCTGTGTGTTGGTTGTGGGCGGGACTGATTTAGGGGCGGAGCCTGGAGGAACCTATAACGGCACAAAATAAAATGTGAGACAAAACACCACATAATTTCATCTTAAACACACAATATCAACATCTTTTCCTTTCATTCATAAATCCAGACTGTCTGAATGTGTTTGCCGGTGTTTTGAATGGATGATTCAGAAATTAAGCAATGCATGTGCACAATTAAAGAAAGGGAAATAAAATGTAATATAAAAACCAACTGACGGGTTTGAGCTGTGAGTGTGGGCTGTTCTGGGCAGCGAGCCCTACGCTGGTACAGCTTCACTAGTTATACCACACCAAGAATTATGTTTTTGTTGGTACTGTATTCTCTCTTTAGGTTTCTGGTTATGTTTAGAAAAAATATACCACTCATACACTTTAGAAATCAGCATGATGAAAGAAATGAAGAGTCACATTCTGTGTGCCGACTCATTGTTTGATTTCTCACAAATGAAGATCACATTTTCTGTAACACTTTAGTTGTTTATTAGCATGCATATTACTAGGATATTGGCTCTTTATCAGTACTTACAAGTATTTTAATTCTGAATGCATGGCGCATCGCAGAGCTAGTGTTATTTGGAATAAGAATTTGTGGTTAAAAGTATATAAACGTTTATTTTTGTTTCGAAAATGGCCGATGGTTTGGCTAAATAATACCCTTATTCCTCGGCTGGGATCCTGTAGAGTGTTTGAAGCTGCACTGAAACTGAAATTTGGACCTTCAACTAGTTGGACCCCATTGAAGTCCACTATACTATACAATTAATTTCTTTTCGACTGAAGAAAGAAAGACAGGAACATCTTGGATGACATGGGGGTGAGTAAATTATCATGAAATTTTAATTCTGAAGCGAACAAATCCTTTAATGCCTTATTCAGCATGACCATATTCTACGTCTCTTAATACTACCAATAACCTAAACTTAAAGTAGTTCACTTTTTAAAAAACTTTTGCTGATAAATAAATGGGCGATCGTTTCGCTTGATGGTATTGTTCTAATTTTTACCGTCCTCAGAAAACTTGCACACCTGTTCCTTTTGTACACAATAAATTTTACAGCATCTCATAAGTGTCAGTTTGTGTTTGGGCGTCTCACCGGCTTGGAGTCTGTGAAAGGGTTATACTCCTCCAGGCCTCCAGGTGGGACAGTCCGTGTTACTTGTGTCACTGATGGGTCCTGCAGAGAACACACAGAAGAAACAGCCTTTAAATATTTCTCTGTTCAAAATGAATTTTTACTAGGATTTGTTTTACACAATGTGCTCAGACACACTTGTAAAGGTTTGTTTTGTTGACTTTTACTAGTAAACTTTAAATCTGATTGTCTGACTTTATGCATCTTTCGTTTTCTAGATGCTCTGATGATTGTTTCTACTTCATAAGCGCTTATCAAGCTAATTTGTAAACATGACTTTGTTTCCAGACAGACTGACAAAATAAAAATGAATTCGGCCAATCAGATCAATGCTTACTAGATTGGATTGAGAAAGCACATTCCTGTTGTGCATGCAGAAAGCGCCAAGTGCACGGACTGTGGGCGGTCCACGTGTTTGAAGTCTGAGGCTCAGACAAGTCTTTGTGAGAAGACTTGTTATGCATCTTCTTGCTTATTATTTATGCAAGAGCTCTGAGCTCTTATAGACCAAAACAAATGTCTTGTGATCGCTCTTAGCAAATAAAGTGCTTTCTGATGTTTGGTCAGGCTTTATGAACTGAACAGTACAGTTACAGTAGATACATTTTATTTCAATGGAAGCCGTACAGTTGTTTGGTTCATCTTATTTACAAAAATTAGCTGCCGAGTAAAAGGCCTTCACAGCTTGACCTGAAACTCATTATTATGACATCACACAACATATATGACCACCCACATAAACACGACTTAACTCTGCATCTACAGCAAACAGCTTTACTGCTGCTGTTAAACAAGCATTAAACTCTGGCACTAAACAAACTCAAAGTTTTCCGGCGTCACATGCTGCTGATAAGAGCGCGGGTATCTTGCCTAATGTCACACAGATGTCGGAGGACTCGGAGAACTAATCCTGACGCCCAGTGCTGAGTCTGCATCAGATTAAAGCTCACAACAACAGAGAAAGCAAACACATGTCACGCTTCACCAAGGAAATACTACACATTCTGTCCTGGGTTTCTATATCCCAGAACATCAGGAACATCAGACGGAACCTGTAATTTTCCCCTGCATGATTCCAGTAATTTACGCAGAGCAAAAACTATAAATAGATGAGTGGGAGAGATCAACCCTGGTTCTGAACGAAGATTACGAGAGTCGACCAATATTTCCCCTCTATGACCGATATACCAATTATTTTTTAAATATCTGACAACAACCAATATGCAGAATTTAAAATAGTTTTAATTAGTCTTTTATGCTTTAACCATTAGACTGCAACACTACAAAACAAATGTATCATTATTATTCATAATTTTGTGATTATTATTATTATTAAATCAACAGCAATAATAATACATAAAATAATACTGGAATTAATAATGATGATAATAATTCAATTTCAATTTCAATCAATTTTTATTTATATAGCGCTTTACAACAACCATAAGTTGATCAAAGCGCTGGACAAAAACAAAGGGGGGGAAAAAAAGGACAGAAACAACAATACAATACAAAAAAATATATTATTATTATAATTATTAATCAATATTTCAAATTATCAAATTAATATTTCAAGCTATCTGACATTGTTTTATTTCTGCTTTTATTATTGCTATTATCATCAACATTATTATCAACATAAAAATAATGACAGCAATATTGCTAAATTATTATTATTAACAAAATATGTATAAATAAAAATAATTAAACCAAATCAGCACATTATTAATAATAAAAACAACAAAACTGTCCGATAATAAATATGCAGAATATACTGCAACAATAAAAACATAGGCCTATGTATTATTTAACCCCTTAACTGTCTGTCACCATCCCGGTACCAGGATGCCTAATTTTACTTCACTATATTTCAATTAAATCCTAATCTAATTATGACAAATTATATATTGTTGGAAAGGTCTAAGACTTCTAAATAAATATTCCACCCTTCAACTTTCATTTTTGGTGATATCAACTTCAAATTTGGAACATAACTTGGTTAGATTCATGGCTTTGATTTTATAGTAATTATAGAGTAAAAAATATATTTTATATAAAATAAAAAATATATATAGTACATTATTTAAACTTCCATAACTTTTCCATTCTTTCATTTTTTGAAGTGTTTTCACTTCAGCAATAATCCGCTGAGTGTTTTCTTTAAAACAAGACCAAACCTGGGTATATATTCCAATTTATTGGCCCTCGTGTTGTTTCAAACATGTATGAATTTCTTTGTTCTGTTAAACACTAAAAAAGTTATTTTGAAAAATGTTGGTAACCAAATTGATTTTCTTTAAAATATCTTCAGCAGAACAAAGAAGCTAATGCAGGTTTGAAAAAACTTGGGTGAGGATGAGTAAGAGATGACTACATTTTTATTTATTTTTTGGGTGAACTATCCCTTGTGATGAATGATCCATTACTCAGCCTGGCAAATGTTAAATCATCATTGGAATAAAAATGCAAAATAACTGGGCGCAGCTCACTGGTAGCATACTATGGTTTCAAACATTTATCCTTGCATAATATTGCGTCACATACTACTTTTTAAATTGGCCAGTTCTGTGTATAAAGTACACTAGTAATAATTGCAAACATAGCAGAGAAGAGTCATTATTAAACTGTTTCTCTATAGAGATAGTTGACTATTCCCTCACTGACTTCAAATGACGTTAACTGCAATACCACACACACACACACACACTAAAACGGGTCCCTTGTTTCCATAGCAGCCCCAGCATGCAGCGCTCAGGTCCTGAGGCGGATCCGTTTCATACGGCTGGTGACGGCTGTCAGGACTCCAGAGCCATGAATATTTCAGTCTGTGTAAGGATAAATGTTTAATGGGATAGTCCCGCACACAAATACACATTTGTTGTGGCAGGAAGACACTGAATCTGTATTCATAAAAACACTGTGAGACAGTGATGTATGATGTCACACTTATGATCACCTGACATATACGCATGTTTGCCACGTGTGACTGTCTCAAAACCTAATGCCAAGAAAGCATTCAGACACACACAGGAATATTACCTAAGCAGCACACGAACACTTTGCAGTTTTAAAATAAATTATAACAGCACAAATATATAAATATTAGGCTGTAAAATACAAATTAAAGGTTAAACAACAAATGTATTTTAAATAAATGGACCTAACAGAAAAGTAATAATGCGTAATTAAGCGAATGCATAAGTCAAAGGGGTTTTTGGTATTATCATTTTGTAATTTTTTTATGTATGCATGACCTAATAATGGTGTAGTTTATCTTAAGCATATTCACTACAAGTACTACTTTTAGTTCATCACAAAATAATGCAAATTGGGATGAAGCCAAAGTTAGGTTTAAACCACTTCTTTTGTCAACTAACACATTAGTCTGTTGATGGTGCTTAACCTGTAAGCCAAACTGTGAACATCAACTATAGAAATGAATGTTTATGCCACAAGTGTGAAACTCAAGCCCGGGTCTGACCTCCTTCAGGACTAGAGGATTTCATGACATATGCGGAGGCTCCACACGCACAGCAATCAAGTATTCACTCGAATGAAAGCTTATTTTAGACAGTAACACGATTAGCGTTGAATATAGCTGAGATGAAAACTGTGCAAATCAGATTAACGCAAACATAACTGCAGCAAACATTCCTGAGCACAAGCAGAACGAACACACCACTGTGGTTTATGTGGAGAACATGGTCTAAACAAGTGTTGTAAAGGCCGTCTGAACACTCAGTGTATTGAGGATGTTCACATTTAAAGTCAAATGTTGTTTTGAAAAGGACAGATAAAAGGAAGTAGGTTTGTGTGGGTTAAAGGGATAGTTCACCCAAAAATTAACGTTCTGTCGCTATTTACTCACCCTGATGTTTTTCCAACCCTGTAAGACCTTTGTTCATCTTCAGAACACAAATTAAAGGGTTAGTTCACCCAAAAATGAAAATTAAGTCATTAATTTCTCCCCCCCATACTGCACCAACCCCGTAAGACCTTCGTTCATCTTCAAGACACAAATAAAGATATTTTTGATTGAATCTGAGAGCTGGATCACTCCTACATAGACTGCCTAAGGGACTGGCGTCTTGACGGCCCATAAAGTCATTAAAGAAAAGGTTTAAATATTCCATGTGCCTACAGCGGCTCAATTATAAGTTTATCAAGCGACGAGACTACTTTTTGTGCGAAAAAAAACATAAATAACGACTTTATTCCACTATTCCATTACTTCCTTATGGGCGCATGCGCGAGAACTGAGACGAGGACGTTCTCATTCGTCTACTTCTTGTTACCGGCTGCTCACCGCTTAGGAGTTTTACCGCCCCCTACCGTATAAGATAGGGCTGGGTATTGTTAGGTATTTCACAATTCGATTCGATTTCAATTCTTGAGGCTTCGATTCGATTTCGATTCGATTCAATATTGACTTATTAGCTTCGATATCGATTCAATAATAAGTAAATACACAAGTTATTAAGTGCCTAAGTATATTTTTAAGTAATGTGCGCAGTTTTACCAATGTTTAAGAACAAATTGATCCCAGCATGTTTGTTTCCTGTCATGGTTTATTCAGCAGAATAAAAATGTACAATATTGTCTGTGTTGAATTCAAACACAACTGTGACAAGCACTGTACAGTGCTTTAACAACACCTCTAAAGTGCAAGTAACTAAGTAGTAGAAAGTATATTTTTTTCTTCCTATACATTCAAGTTCTAAAAGAAATGTAAACAGAAGCACAAAATGTGCATACTCAAAAAAGTGCAATATTATATTCTAATTATAATTTTGTAAACAATAACACTTAATAGCTGATCACAGTTAACAGCAATTGCGATTTATCAGGCCAATTCTAAGGGGGAAAAAATACTAACCTTTTTCCCTCTCAGAAGTTTATATCTCATAGACTTTATATCATGCATTTCTGACTTTATATCAAGCAATTCTGACTTTATATCATGCATTTATGACTTTATAACACCCAATTGCGACTTTATATCACGCAATTGTGACTTTATATCTCGCAATTCTGACTTTATA